TAAGATTAGGAATGAAGATATTCGGGAGAAGGTGGGCGTGGCTCCCATGGATGACAAGATGCGGGAAGTGAGGCTCATGGTTCGGGCACGTACAAAGGAGGAGCCCAGATGCCCCGGTAAGGAGGTGCGAGCGGTTGGCGTTGGTGGGTATGAGGAGAGGTAGAGAGTGGCCTAAGAAGTATTGGGGAGAGATGATCGGGCGGCATATGGCGAGACTTCAGATCAAAGAGGACATAGCCCTTGAAATTAGGAAGCTGTGGAGGTAGATCATTAAGGTTGTAGGTTAGGAGATAGTTGAGCATATTTCTAATTCGTACCAGTGTGAGGCTAGTCTGATAGGATTTTGTCTTAAACTGCTAGTGGTCAGTGTTGTGTTCACACTACTCTTCCATTTTCATAGTGCCGGGCCTTATTTACTGGTTATTCTATTTACTGGTTCTTATGATATTATTTCTATGATTTTTGTTGATGGTACTGATATATTGTCTCTTTTCATCTTCTTGAGCCGAGGGTCTATCGGAAACATCCTCCTTACTCCCTCGGGTAGAGGTAAGGTCTGCGTACATACTACTCTCCCCAGACCCCACTTGTGGGATTTTATTGGGTCGTTGTTGTATAAAAGAAAGATAAAACATATTGCTGTGAGATAGTCAATGGAGATCTCTCCAACCGTCTCTTGTTAGAAAAATTTAAAGTATAGCAAAGTAGCCAAAAGAGTATGGGTACTATCTCAAGTGACTATTCATATAGCTTTTAACAATTCAGTAGTGGTCACTAGTGAGGATTATGCTCAAACCCTTCATACAGGAATCCCTTAGGCAAAAGAGGTGCTACTGAGAAATAGGTTCAGCCTGAGTTGTAGTTTGTGTTTTGTAAAGAACAAAACACAACTGGGTTTTTTTCACTCTTAAAACATTTATTCTTGGGTGTTCCAGGCTTTGCTGCATCTTTATTACCCCTTTTAACTGTAGGGAATTGTGACACGATTTAGTACATTCTAGTGGGTCATGAGGTAGATTACAATGCTGGACACAATCTATCATTTGGTGTCTTCTTTGATTGTTTGAATCCTAGGCTACACACCATGCAGCCCACGATATATTTTGGAGGTTTAGAAGAAACACTCACCTTTTGCATGCTTGTGAGTTACTTCTATTGCACATATTTTTTATAAGGTAAAATTTTATAACTGTATCAGCAACAAGAGTGTGCTGGTATGAACATCTGAGCACATCAAAAGTGTCTCTCACAGGTTGTGAAGAGAAGTAATAAAGCCAACCATGGCCTCTACATTGTAACAGTCATGTATATCTACCATGTCGATCCAATAAGAAATTAAAGAAATACAATTAAACTTAAGACTAGAAACATTCTCTTTTTTGACTTAAAAAATTCTCTTTTTTGACTTAAAAAATTCTCAAGTTTCTCTCTTACCATATAATCCACCATATTGCCGCTGTTATTGCGTTCCAAATTCTTTGATGCTTACCCCTCAAGCCTCTTTTCTGCCAACCTTGCAGAAATTCCAGTGTCGTTTGGAATTGTCCACTTCAACCCCAAACAAGAGTCATTACAAAAGCTAATCTTTCCTTCCATCACCCAGCTTGAAGTATGTTTTGTCTAAGATGTCATACTAATAAGCACATGTTAAGATGATTTAAGGGTTGTAGGTTCAGTTTTTACACTCAACACTATATTTAGTAGTTGTACCCTGGGGTGCCCTTAATAAACACAATGTTTTCTTGCTCATTCTCCAAACACCCCCCACCCCCCTTCCCCAAAAAAATAATAATTTGGCCAAACAGGTAAATGACCTCTTGTGTCCCCTAAATGTTTCAAAAACTCTTTAGAGATATGATTTTTTAAGTATTTCATCCTCTTCCCTTTCTTCTTTTGACTGCGGATATAAGTTCAAACTAGATAAAAAGGAGGGATATCTGCACTAAGATTTTCTAGTGTCATTTCTTACTGATAAATGTCAATGCATATTTTATGCATGTGTAAATATATGAACATAGTTTAGAGGACTAGTCCGCGTCCTGTTCCTTTGTAGTTTGTTGATATGCATTCATTATCATATTAGATACGATGATTGGAGCTCTGTTGATGTTACAGCGGCTTACAGCATTAGCAGTTTTTTCTTTTAAGAACTCTCATATGTGCTTTCTCAGGCTTGTCATAAATGCAGCATCACACCTTATTTCACTGTATGAAATTAACCATTATCATTCGTGGTTCAATTGTTGGGTGCTTGCAGGCCTCAGGTAACAATTGCCACTGCAATAATATTTTGTCATCGGTTCTTTCTTCGGCAATCTCATACCAGGAATGATAGGAGGGTAAGTAACTTTCTGTTTCCGTTTTACCATCTATTGCATCTATGGCTGCTTGACCTTTTGCATATATTTGTTAAATGAAACCAGTGATTGCATAACATATTTCCTTGAATATCGTGTAAGCGTGTGGATGAGCAAAAGATCTTTTGGTGCCTAACTTACCAAGTTACAGGATATGCCATATAATTGGTTGTGGCATCTATTGGCTAAAAACGATCGGTGCCATTAGTTGAGCTTGGTTGATTAAGTTGCATGGAAAATGAAACTTGCATAGTCTCTGATTGATTTGTAAGTAGGATTATGTATTCTATTACTATTTTCTCGGGGAAAATTGCCGAGCGCCAGTGGCAATTCAGTGGATAATGGGCCCGTCCCTCTACCCTTCTACATATAAATACCAAGCTTTTGTCTGCGGAAGGGTTCAAACCCCTGAAGCGTGCCTAAACCATACATTGAAATTTATATTTTATCATACCTTGCAATTCAAGTGTTGGTATATGTTGTTATCAGCTATGCTACCTTGCATTTTTTAATAAAATTCAAGAGACACAAAGGTTCAATTGAGAAGGGAAAAAGAAAAAGACACAAGGGGGCATTAGATGTATTTTTATATCACCCGGCAATAGGGAAACCATCAAGCTTTTAGCATGTAGTGGTCCAATAGAGGGCCACCAACTTTTGACACCGAAGACCGGTTCCTTTTATGTGACTAGATTGAATCTCCAATTCCTACTAAAAATGTATTCGGGTAGAAGAGTTATCAGATGTTTTAAACTTTTTAGATTCGTTGAGATGAGTGTGCTTAATCGTTAAATGGTGACCTCTGTACTGCTGTAATCTTGTATTTTGCAGTACTTGGTACTTGCCTTAATAATATTTACTTATTAAAAAAAAGTATGTGGACCCAAAATCATCAGACCTGTAAGCATTTTCTCATGAGTATTATGCACAGGTTTCCAGTTACATCATTTGGAGAAACAGTTTAAAATGATGCATTACTTTTCAAATTGTGAAGTTTGTGAAGAACAATGAATGTAAGAAAAGGTTTAAGGAGGAATTCAGTTAGATATCTTGTTCCTTTATGGTACTAAAAACTATAATAAGCATACCTTAATTGAGGGGAGATTCTAGAATGATGGGCAACAATTCAGTTAGCTAATTTTCGTACTAGCTGGTGAACGAATTTTGTATTACTGGTAAATACTAATGGCCGTCCACTTATCAAAAGAAAAAAGGACATCTTTACGAGCATTTTTTTTGCTAAGGTAAGTGAACATCTTTACGAGCAATTGTACTAATTAGCTAAAGTTTGTGGTAGATAGAACTAACTAATATTCTACCCAACTTCCATACCTTTTGCAGAGCATTGCCACAGTATGCATGTTCCTCGCAGGAAAGGTTGAAGAAACTCCTCGTCCCCTGAAAGATGTTATACTTGTTTCTTATGAGATCATTCATAAGAAGGATGCTGCAGCAGCGCAGAGGATTAAGCAAAAGGTATTGCCAATTGGCCTGGTGGTTGTGCTCTGTACGTATCTATTTATTCCATCTTCTACTTCTAGGTCCTCTTCTAGATTTGACCTTAAAACTTGCTTCCTACTGCTTATATGTGGAAGATTTTGCCTTTCGCTAACTTGTATGGATAGTTACTGGCCGTTCAGTTTCTGTTAATCTGTTTCTCTGGTATCTTTAATCATTTTTAGTGTCTTATTATTACATACTAAAGTAATTTAAAAATTTTGTGCTGTCATGCAGGAAGTATACGAACACCAAAAAGAACTACTTCTGCAGGGAGAGAGGGTTGTTCTTGCGACTCTTGGTTTTGATCTTAATGTACATCATCCATATAAACCCCTTGTTGAGGCGATAAAGAAATTCAAGGTTGCTCAGAACGCCCTAGCTCAAGTTGCATGGAACTTTGTGAATGATGGGTATGATATGTTTCTCGTCTATATGATATTTGTATGTACCAATTGATGGTCACTCCTATCTCTTGTTGACGTGGGAGAGCCGCGTGCAGGCTTCGGACGTCCTTATGCTTGCAATTT